GAGAGAGAGAGAGACAGCGTGAGCAGGGGAGGGTCAGAGAGAGAGGGAGTCACAGACTGAAACAGGCTCCAGGCTCTGAGCTGGCAGTCAGCACAGAGCCCGACGCGGGGCTCGAACCCACGAACAGCGAGATCATGACCTAAGCGAAAGTCGGACGCTTAACCGACTAAGCCACCCAGGCGCCCCAAACTGTATTTTTTAAAAAAGCAAACCCCCAAAGCATACACCACCTTTTATGTAAAAAGTCAATTTGCTATGTATCAGTTTGTTGACTCTCATCTATAAATTTACCTTTTTTTGGCCTTCTCTGTAAGAATGGGCTTTGGCCCTTTAAATATTTATTCTTTGCCAGCTGACACATTGTTACCCTTTGTCAGTAAAAGTGTAGAAGAGACTTTCCAAGAGGGAAGGTTTTGCTTCCCGGCCTGTCCTGTGATCAGTGCGGTGCACCTGGCAGTCAGTAGTACCCATTGCCCAGCAGTGTTCCCTGTGCAGCCGCTCCACTCCCCTTGATGCCTCCCCTGTGCAGCTCTTCCTCATACCCTGCATTTCCAGCAGTTCGCTGATGGAGCACCAGAGCAACTTTCTCTGCCCTTCAAGGAGTCACAGCCATGGCCTCTTCAACAAAGCGTGGATCTCAGTCCTGGGGGGAGAAAAGGAAGACTTCTTGGGCACTCTTTGTCCCCCCAAGAGCAGGATACTCTGTATATCTGCTATGCCTATATTCTAGAGTTCTCTGCTTCTTACTTGCTAATCTCTCATTACTCTAATCGTCTGTTGAAGTTAATACTTCTTTAGATTAAGCTTTCTCTGTTCTCATTACTGTGTAGGATTTTATCTCCTAGTTGAACTCTGATAGAAAAAGAATTTTTTTTTTTTTTTTTTTAAGAGAGGGGGTGAGTAGGGGAGGGGCAGAGAAACAGAAAATCCCAAGCAGGCTCTGCACCGCCAGCTTGGAGCCCAGTGTAGGGCCAAACTCACAAACTGTGAGATCGTGACCTGAGCTGAAAGCAAGAGTTGGATGGTTGACTGAGACATCAGGTGCCCCAAGAAATTTGAGACAATAAACAGATATTTGCTTATTTGTATAAAAGAAATGGAAAGGATAAACCACAACTGTAGAGATCGGTTGCCTACAAAGGGTGGGTGGGAAAGGGGTGAGAAGTAAGGAGGGAATGGGAACATGTTAGTAGGGATGAAGACGGAATGACATTTCGTTGAGTGTGCGTGTGCATAAATACATATATATATCTATAACTCTGACTTTCAGAACCACAGTGATGTCTCACGTATCTTTTACAATATCTCCAAAGCAATCAATTAAAACCGACCAGGATGTGAGGGGAGGGGGACCCAAAATAGAGTACATGAATGAACAAATGAGGCTGTGTCACAATTAACACTGAGGAGAATGAGGAAGAAAGAACTAACCTAAGTCCTACAGAAGCATAGTTTGGTTCAGTGTCACAAGGCTGAAAACAAAAAGTCCTTTTCATGACTTAGTGTTTTCTAGACGTGAACAAATAAGTGAATTAATAGGTAATGGGAGCTGGGGTTCTCACTTGTGGAGAAAGAAGTTACAAGGAAAGGTTGAAGGCTAAAATGAGCCGTGTGGTTTTAGTTTGGGATTAGAGTATCAGTATAAACTCATGGTTAAATATATACCGGATGGAAAAATACAGAAATGCAGGTATTTGTATGCGTGTGGGATAATGTACATACACGTGTTTTCTACCTCTCTCCACTGGAAGGTCTGGAAGTTCTGATGGCTGTAGCAGTGAAAACACCTGGCGCCCAGCTAATGGTCTCAAAGCACCTGTCTCCGTGAAGCTCTTAGTAGTTGATTCCAGGCCTGAGACAGGGAAATACGGGGTGAGCCTTGAGCATCTTACGGTGCTAGAAAGTGAGGAAGTACTAAAAAAATGGTGAGGGTTTGTTCAAAGAGCAGGAGCCAACATGAAGGAGCTCCTAATGGCCACACGTGGAACAGTGTGATCAACAGAATAATTTAATCAGATATTAGGTATTAATTAGATACTAACCTACAGAATGAAATAAATATGAGTTCATATTAATATGAATGACCAAATAAGTGGGAGGGAAGAGACCAGTCTTTCTCATAATGCCAGTGAATAAATGCAGAAGGAGGGGAATAGAGAATCACCACGAGGCATATTCCACAGTAATGTGTGCACAAGATCTCCTTTTGAATGCTAAAATTCCTGGATGAAAGTTCAAGGAGAAACAAGATTTGCGTGGTTTCAAAGGATCTTCCCCTAAATACTTAGCAAGTACAAAGGAAAATAAAGTATGTTTCTAGTGTAGGAATCAGGCAGACAGGAGCTTAACCAAGGTAAACCTCACCAGTAACAAGACATGTTAATATCAACACCATGAACTCCTTGGTGTGATAACTGTGAGGACATCATTCCTGGGGTGTTCTTGTGCCAAATGCACAGCCTTACTCTAATTGTGAGGAGACAGCAGTCAGTGCAAATTCAAGAACATTCTACAAAGTAACGGCGTGGAGCTCTTCACAAGTGTCAAGATTATGAAAGGCAAGGAAAAGTGAGGAACTGTAGTCACCTGGAAGGGCAGGAAAGAAGGCATTACATTAAAAATTTGCGAAATTCAGAAAGACTTATCGTCAATAATACTGTATTAATATTAATTTTCTGATTTTGATAATTACTCTCTGATCACGTAAGGCATTAACATAGGGGAAACCTGGGTGAAAGGTATAGAGGACTCTTTCTTCATACTAGTTTTGCAGTTCCTCTTTATTTATTTATTTTTTTAATTTTTTTTTTAAGGTTTTTATTTATTTCTAGGAGAGAGAGAGAGAGAGAGACAGCATGAACAGGGGAGGGTCAGAGGGAGAGGGAGTCACAGACTGAAACAGGCTCCAGGCTCCGAGCTGGTAGTCAGCTCAGAGCCCGACGCGGGGCTCGAACCCACGAACCGCGAGATCATGACCCAAGCGAAAGTCGGACGCTTAACCGACTAAGCCACCCAGGCGCCCCTACAGTTTCTCTTTCAGTCTAACATTACTTCAAAACAAAAGTATGAAAGATACCTTGGAAGACTCAGTAAAGAATATTGAAGTTTGATTTTTCTTGTCTCTCTGGCAGGGTTAGAAAGAGGCTTCTGGAACAGCGGGAAGAAACCATAACGATAGATCGGGTTTGCAGACAAGAAACCTTTGCTTACGAGATGGTAAGAGTCTCCTCTTTTTCTTTTCCCGTGAGACAACGAGCTCTGTCACTGGGCATTAGTGGCATCTCCGTGGTGGCTTTATACTGGATACGCTTGTTGAAAACAAACTGGAGAAGCCTCACTGGGACTGGGAACTAGCAGGAGAGAAAGACCCACAGAATTCAGGTGATGGCACACTTGACTCATTCATATCTCTGCCTTTATTTTCGCTTTTAGCTCAGTCTTGCTCTGGGTATTAGGCTAACTTCATGCCCTTTCATCACCCTGTTCCTGATACTTTTTGTTCTGCTCCTGATTTTGATTTCACCATATTCTTTCTTAATCTACCATCTCTTATGTAAACCCTCAGAAAAATCTAAGATGCTGAGTAATGAGGAATTAAGTGTTAGTAGACATGATGGGTCCATTCAGTACATATTCTTTTTTTTTTTTTCCAATATTTTTATTTATTTCTAGGAGAGAGAGAGAGAGAGAGACAGCATGAGCAGGGGAGGGTCAGAGAGAGAGGGAGTCACAGACTGAAACAGGCTCCAGGCTCTGAGCCGGCAGTCAGCACAGAGCCTGACGCGGGGCTCGAACCCACGAACTGCGAGATCATTACCTAAGCGAAAGTCGGACGCTTAACCGACTAAGCCACCCAGGCGCCCCATTCAGTACATATTCTTGAGGACCTACTATGTGATGCTATGTTGGGCATGTTATAGTACATAAGGGCGTCTATTTTCTCTCCTATATATATTTGCATTGTAAAATTTGAATAACATATACCTTATTATTTTAACCATTTTTAAGTGTTCAATTTAAGTGGCATTAAATGCATTCACTGTGTTGGGTATCCCTTACTGTTTCCAGAACTTTTTCATCACCTCAAACAGAAATTCTATACTGAGCAAGTAACTCCCCCTTTTCCTTTCCCCCAGCACTGAACCTTTATTCTACTTTCTGCATCTGTGACTTGGCCTATTCTAGATCCCTCGTATGAGTGGAATCATGCAATATTTGTCCTTTTGTGCTCAGCATATTTTACTTAGTATATTGTTTTAAATATACTGTGTGTTACAGGTATTAGGACTTCATTCCTTTTTTTGACTGAATAATATTCCATTGTATGGATATACCACATTTTGTTTATCTGTTCATCCTTTTTTAAGTTTATTTATTTTTGAAAGAGAGAGCACAAGTATACATGAACAGGGGCAGGGGGAGGGGGGTAAGAATCCTAAGCAGGCCTCTCACCATCATCACAGAACCCAAAGCAGGGCTCAATATGAACCTCGAGCCCATGACCTTAGCTGAAATCAAGAGTCAGATGCTTAACCGACTGCACCCCACAGGTGCCCCTATCTGTTTATCTCTTGATGGACATTTGGCATATTTCCACATCTTGGCTATTATAATAATGCTGCTGTGAACATGAATATACAGGTGCCTGTTTGAGTCCATTTTCGTTTCTTTTCAGTACATACCTGCGAGTGGAATTGCTCAGTCATAAGGTAGTTTTTGAGGAACCACCAAACTGTTTTCCACAGCAGCTGCATCATTTTACATTCCCACCAGCAATGCACAAAGATTCTAGTTTCTCCACATCCTGTTCAGCATTTGATATTTTCTGGGGTTTTTTTTGAGAACAGCCATCCTAGTGGGCATAAAGTGGAATCTCATTATGGTTATGCATGTCCCAGCTGATCAGTGATGTTCAGCATCTTTTCATGTGATGGTTAGCCATCTGTATTTCTTCATTGGAGAATGTCTATTCAAGTCCTTCACTAGTTTTTTAATTGAGTTGTCTCTTTGTTGTTGAGTTGTAAGAGTTTTTTGCAGTTTCTGGATACTAGACCCTTACCACATGTGTGATTTTAAAATATTGTCTCCCATTCTACGGATTGTGTTTTTACTCTCTAGATAGTGTCCTCTGATATACAAAAGTTTTAAAATTTGATTAAGTTCAGACACCTGGGTGGCATTAAGCATCTGACTTCAGCTCAGGTCATGATCTTCAGGTTCCTGAGTTCGAGTCCCATATCGGGTGAGCAGGAACCCCACTTTGGGTGGGCTTGAGCCTTGTTTTTCTCTCTTTTTCTCTTTAGCATTTCTATATAGCAAGTCTACTATTAACGAACTCCCTCATCTTTTTTTTTTTTTAATCTGAAAATGCCTTAATTTTTCTTTCATTACTGAAGGATAGTTTTGCCATGTATAGAATTCTTGCTTACTGTTTTCTCTCTTCTCATGTATTAAAATATGTTGTCCTACTCCCTTCTCTTCATGGTTTCTGTTAGAAAACACCTATTAATCTTACTGAGGAACCTGATTTCCTTTAGTTGTCTGTGGTTTCCTTGAGCTCTTTGAGTGCATTTAGAAGACCATTGATTTAACATTTTTGACCTGTAATTTCAATATCTGGGCTTCCTCAAGGATGGTGTTATCAGATTTATTTTTTTCTTTTGAACGTGACATATTTTCTTGTTTTTTGTGTGTGTGCTTTATAAGTTTTTGTGGGTACCTGGACATTCTGAGTATATTTTTTCACTTGCTGAGGGTTGGAGCTATCTATGACGTTTTCAAACTTTTTCCAATGTGTGTATTCCTTTTTATGTATGGTTGTGGATATTTCTGTTGCATTACCTCTGTGGGCAGCCAGTGACCTGTTAAGATTTCCTTAAATGTCTGCCTCCACAAATTGGGGGGGGAGGGAATGCTCTGTCTCTAAATGTTCTGGTAGCTGCTGCTGTGGGAAGCCGCTGCTGGCGGGAGGCCCAACACCAAGGCAAGTGTGCGTACGAGGCCATCACCAGACCAAACAAAACAACACCTATTTTTGGGAGAACATGGTCCCCACTGCTTGTCATGTGACGTCAGCCATCTGTTCCAGGAACACAGGCCACTATTTCCACACCTGCAGTGGGGCTAAGAAGTGGGGGTGTAGTTGGTTTGCACCCCATGCTTGCTTACGAAAGACCAGCAGCTTGTGTTTTCATCAGACGCTCCCCTGGTGGATGTAACTGAGCAGTCTCTTTCCATCTTATTGGTTGCTTTGGTGGAGGGACTGATCCCTAGAGCTGCCTTCAGTGCCATTTTGCTTAATGCGTCTCCCTCTTATTTTGTGCATGTACTTCTTACCTAGTCCACCGTGGTGGCCTCTATTCTGTAGTTACCACACACATGAAATAGAGGGTGTAAAGTATTAAAGATGTGATAATGTTGTGAAAAGCAAAACAGTGTTGGTTTTAGAGCTAAATAGATCTGAATTTGCATCTTGCTGATTTATCCGTAGGTAAATCTGAACCTCTGTGCATAATCTGTCAAACAACGTTCATAATAATATGAGAGGAGGTATGTAAAAGTGTTAGCAACTGTAAATGCCAGTGTTATACCAACATTCGTTGATAAACTCCTGTTTTATCATCAGTTGCTAAGCACTTAGTGCCAAACATTGTTAGATCCATTATGTACACATCCCCAGCTATAGTTCTCTAAAATGAGTATTTTCTGATTTTTTACAGAAGATGAAACTAAAGCCTAGAGAGATTTTTAACAATTTTCTTGAAGTAAAACTAAGTGTCAGACCCAGGGCTGTCTGACTCAAGCCCTTACGGATAGCTGTCATTCCGTACTGCCTCTTGTCTGCGTCACAGTGTCTGATTTTAAGGTCTCTTACTCGTTTTTCTCCTTCAGGAGTCACATGCCATAGGCAAAAAGCCTGAAAACCCAGCAGACATGATTGAAGAAGGGGAGCTTATCCTATCTGTAAATATCTTGTACCCTGTTATATTTCATAAGGTTAGTAGTGCAGTCTTTTGAATTTCAAAGATAATATGGGTGACTTTTGTCAAAGGGTTTAATTATTTGGAGAGTCACAATCCTTAGGGTTCAAGATAAATGCAAGCATATGCTGCTTTATCTCACATCCTGTCCGTATCCTTGGTTCTCTGTTTTAATAAGAAATATCGTAAATAAGGTCAAATTTCAAATAATCTCTTAATTAAGAGGATTACAGTGATAATACTGGAATGTATACCTAATTGCTTCACTGGAAGCAACTGAAAGTATATGCAAATCCTCAGTGATTCTAAGTATATGAACCATTGAGGAGGTTGTTTTTTAGTTTTGTGGAGGTTTTTAAAAATTTTTATAGTATGAGAATACAGACCTTTATTAGGTTGTAGTAGTAAACACAGGAAATGTGTTTGGGTAGAAAGCTGTGAAGTTTTGACTTTCTTGTGACCACAGAAGGGAAGTAAGCCAAGGACACTAATGGAATATGACCTGGGGCCTTAAAGACAGATGGTGTGAGTCTCCTTTCTGGTTTCCTGAGTTTCGAATTACATCCTTCCTTCCTTTCTTTTTTTTTTTTAATAACATTTATTTATTTATATACAAGCTAGTAATTAGTTAGCATATAATGCAATAATGATTTCAGGAGTAGATTCCAATGATTCATCCTCTGTGTATAACACCCAGTGTTCATCCCAACAAGTGTCTTTCTTAATGCCCCTTACCCATTTAGCCCATACCCCCACCCACAACCCCTCCAGCAACCCTCAGTTTATTCTCTATATTTAAGAGTCTCATGTTTTGTCCCCCTCTGTGTTATATTATTTTTGCTTCCCTTCCCTTATGTTCATCTGTTTTGCATCTTAAATTCCACATATGAGTGAAGTCACTTATTTCTTTCTCTGACTAATTTCTTTTAGCATAATACCCTCCAGTTTCATGTTTTGATTTTCTTTTTCAAGCTTACTTTGGCTATTGAGGGTCTTTTCTGGTTCCATACAAATTTTAGGGTTGTTTGTTCTAGCTCTGTGAAGAATGCTGTTATTATTTTGATACGGATTGCGCTGAATATATAGATTGGGTAGTATCGATATTTTAACAATATTTGTTCTTCCAGTCCATGAGCTTGAAATATTTTCCCATTTTTTTACGTCTTCAATTTCTTTCATAAGCTTCCTGTAGTTTTCAGTATGTATATGGATTTTTCACCTCTGGTTAGGTTTATTCCTAGGTATTTTATGGTTTTTGGTGCAGTTGTAAATGGGATCAATTCCTTGATTTCTCTTTCTGCTGTTTCATTATTGGTGAATAGAAATGCAACAGATTTCTGTGCATTGACTTCATATCCTGTGACGTTGCTGAGTTCATGGATCAGTTCTAGCAATTTTTTGGTGAAACCTTTTGGGTTTTGCAAAGAATGAAAGTTTTGACTTATTCCTGCTAGTTTGGCTGCCTTTAATTTATTTGTGTTGTCTGATTGCTAAGGTTAGGACTTCCAGTACTGTGTTGCATAACAGTGACAAGAGTGACATCCTCATCATGTTCCTAACCTTAGGGCAAAAGCCTCAATTTTTCCCCTTTGAGGATGATATTAGTAGTGGGTTTTTCATATATGTCTTTTGTGATCTTGAGGTATGATCTTTCTATCCCTACTTTCTTGAGGGTTTTTATCAAGAAAGGATGCTGTATTTTGTCAAATGCTTTCTCTGTATCTTTTGAGATGTTGTCCTTTGTTTTATTAATGTGCTGTATCACATTGAATGATTTGCAGATACTGAACCAACCCTGCATCTCAGGTATAAATACCACTTGGTTGTGGTGAATAATTCTTTTACTGTATTGTTGGATTCGGTTGGCTAGTATCTTGTTGAGTATTTTACATCCATATTCATTAGGGAAATTGGTCTTTAGTTCTCCTTTTTAGTAGGGTCTTTGTCTGGTTTTGGAATCATTATAATGCTGGCCTCATAGAATGAGTTTGGAAGTTTTCCTTCCATTTCTATAGTTTGGAACAGCTTGAAAAGAATAGGTGTTAAGTCTTCTTTAAATGTTTGGTAGAATTCCTCTGGAAAGCCATCTTGCCTAGACTTTTTTTGGGGGGGGGTGGAGATTTTTGATTACTAATTCAATTTCTTTACTGGTTATGGGTTTGTTCAAATTTTCTATTTCTTCCTGTTTCAGTTTTGGTAGTTTATATGTTTCTAAGAAGTTGTCCATTTCTTCCAAATTGCCCAATTTATTGGCCTATAATTGCTCTTATATTATTGTTTGTATTTCTGCAATGTTGGTTGTGATCTCTTTATGTTTGTGATTAACTGATTTATATATTTGAGTGCTTTCCTATTGGGGGCATATATGTTTACAATTGTTAGATCTTCTTGGTGGATAGACATGTTAATTATGATAGAATGCCCTTTTTCATCTCTTGTTGCAGTCTTTATTAAAATCTAGATTGTCTGACAAAAGTATGGCTACTCCGACTTTCTTTTGGAGGCCATTATTGTGATGGTTCTCCATCCTCTTACTTTCAATCTGAAGGTGTCTTTAGGTCTAAAATGGGTATCTTGTTAACAGCTTATAGATGGATTTTGTTTTCTTATCCATTCTCTTACCCTGTGTCTTTTGATTGAAGCGTTTAGTACATAGACATTTAGAGTGAGTACTGAAAGATAAGAATTTATTGCCGTTGTGTTGCCTGTAGAGTTGGAGGTTGTGACGATGTTCTCTGGTCCTTTCTAGTCTTGGTTGCTTTTGTTGTTTTTTGTTTTGTTTCATCTTTTCTCCTCTCAGAGAGTCCTTCTTAAAATTTCTTGCAGGGCTGGCTTAGTGGTCATGAACTCCTTTAGTTTTTGTTTATCTGGGAAACTCTTTATCTCTCATTTTGAATGATAGCCTTGGATTCTTCTTGGATGAATAATTCTTAGCTGCATGCTTTTCTGATTCAGCATGTTGAATATATCCTTTCACTCCTTTCTTGCCTGCCAAGTTTCTGTGGATAGATCTGCAGTGAACCTGATCTGTCTTCCCTTGTAGATTAAGAAGTTTTTTTTTCTCTTTCTGCTTTCATAATTCTTTCCTTGTCTGTGTATTTTGTGAATTTATTATATGCCTTGTGGATGGTTTTTGTTTAATCTAATGGAAGGTCTCGGTGCTTCTTGGATTTTGATGTCTGTGTCTTTCTCCAGGTTAGGAAAGTTTTCTGCTATGATTTGCTCACATAAACTTCCTATCCCTTTTTCTCTCTCTTAGTCTCCTAGGACACATATGATTTGAATGTTATTCCCTTCTAGTGACTCACTGCGTTCTCTAGTTCTTGTTGCATGTTCTTTAGCCTTAGTTTTCCTCTTTATTCTCCATAATTCTTCTGTGTCATTGATTAGCTGCTCTGCTTCATTCATCCTTGTCACTGTGGCATCTTTAGAGATCGCATCTCAGTTATAATGTTTTTAATTTCATCCTGACTAGATTTCACATCTTTTATATCTGTAGGAGGGAGTCTATGTCTTTTTCAACCCCAGCTAGTATTCTTATTTTCATGGTTCTAAATTCTAATTCTGACATCTTAATGTCTGTGTTGATGAAGTCTCTTGCTGACATTTCTTCCTGTTCTTTCTTTTGGGTTGAATTCCTTTGTTTTGTCATTTTGGAGGAAGAAAAAGAATTAATAAAATAAAAAATTAAAATTAAAAAGGTTTTAAAAAGCACAAATCAAATAAAGGAAGCTAAATCCTAGGTATGTTTTAGTCTGGTTGTTTAAAGAACCTTAATTTGAATAGAGAAAAAAGTGAGAAAAAATTTCAAAATTTAAAAGAATATAATGAATTGAAGAAGGTAAAATAGAATAAATTTACAATAAATTTATTTAGTACAATAAATTTACAATAAATAAATTTACAAAAAAATAGTAAAAAAAATTAAAATATAGAAAATGGAAAAAAAAATAATTTTTTTTCTGTATCCAAGAGTAAGAAAAGAAAAAAAAAAAATGAAATGAAACAACAAAACAACAACAACCAAAACCAAATAGGTGGACCAGCAAACAGAAAGAAATCCAAAATTACATCCAGTTTTCCCTAGAGGTCAAACTATGAACCACTTTATAGTCCACACACTAAGCAGGAGAAGAGAGAAGGAGGGAGGGAGAAAGGGAGGGAGAAGAGGAGGAGGGAGAGGAGGGAGAGGCAGAGAGAGACAGCATGAGCAGGGGAGGATCAGAGAGAGAGGGAGACACAGAATCTGAAACAGGCTCTAGGCTTCAAGCTGGCTGTCAGCACAGAGCCCAATGCGGGGCTCGAACCCATGAACTGTGAGATCATAACCTGAGCCAAAGTTGGACCCTTAACCAACTGAGCCACCCAGGCACCCCTGTCATAAATTTTGATAAAGTTTAGTTGAAACATTACTATACATGAATTACACTCCTGAATGAATAGTCGTTAATGAAGCATCTTGAATACAGTTAGTACTAATTATCTTGTTTGATTAAGTTTTGAAATTACCAGTCAAACCAAACCAGTAAAACTGAATTCTGGGTTTGTTAACATGAGAGTAGTATATAGGTTGCTTGACTTCAATGAGGTAACGTCCAGGAAATTTTAAAGCACAGTGCTTCTGGGTGAAGTTATATGCCAGAGGTTCTTCTCGCTAATGTCATCTTAATAGCATCTTGATTATAAACTTCAGTTTAAACAAAGAAGTTCATTGCCAAGTGGCTTAGTCCCTTCTGGCACCTCTAAAAAAATATCACTGACTGAGTGGCTTATAGAGAGCAATTTATTTATCACAGTTCTGGATGCTGGCAGTCTAAAGTTAGGGGGCCAGTACAGTCAGGTAAGGGCCCTCATCCAGGTCACAGATTTCTCATGCGGCGAAAGGGCTCGGGAGCTCTGTGGGATCTTTTATAAGAGCACTAATTCCATTCGTGAGGGCTTAACCCTCAGACCATTCACCAGGTGTCTCCATTATGCCCTGGCAATTTTAATTTATGGATGTGACTGAGGGACCACACTAGAGGCCAATGCCATTGAGTGAAGACTTTTATTACTAACATTTATTGAGAGAAATGAGTAGTATCCCACAGCTGCAGGGCCACGGAGGGAAGCAGCAGTGAATTCAGGCGGCAGAAGCAGTGAGGAGAAGCCAGAGGCGACAGCCTTTACTGAGGTTTCCATGGGAAAAGCCAGGCAGGGCAGGGCAAACAGCTTGGGAATGGCCACTTTGGGTAATTCTGGTGGGTCCTGGGGTGCAGGGCTGTCCCTAGTTGTCTGCTACCTCACCTTACATTGATTTAGGATGGGAAGTACTGGCGTGGTGTGTGAGGGTTAGAACAAGGAGAAGGTTTCAGAGAACAGGGTCTGGATCACAGGGGAGAGGTAAACAGTTGTGGCCATTAGTTCGGACCTGTAATTAATAGATGACAAATAGACAAATACAGAATCCAAGAAGAAATAGAACACTGAGTTATGGAGATAACTTGAAGAAAATCATTTAGATCTGGTCAGGACAGGACTTACTGTTTAATTGCTTTGTCTCTCAGTGGACACTTGCCAATTTACCATCTGACTTTTAGCACAAAGAACATAAACCGTACCAGACGATGCTGGTCTTGGGCAGTCAGAAGCTCACGGAACTGAGGGATTCAATTTGCTGTGTCAGTGACCTCCAGATTGGCGGGGAATTCAGCAACACTCCTGATCAGGCTCCTGAGCACATCAGCAAAGTAAGATGGTTTCTGTCGTTTTTGTTTTTGTTAACTTTCATCCAACTAGAAGAAATAATAATAGTAACAATAATAATATTAAGCTTAGTAAGTAGTGATATTTGTAGTAGTAAATCTTCCAGGAAATGCTTTCTTCTTTTCTGCCATCCCATCAAACTTATCTCTTCCCTTCTTTTTATCATCAAGATGTTTTCAAAGATGAGACTATGCTAAATTTTGATTTCCTTATCTCCCCTTCATGTCTCAACCATTCTGTGTCCACCCTTCCTTTTAAGGTCGTGGTAACCACCTGCCTTCTCCATGTTCACACCACTTTTCCTCACTCTGCCATTTGAATTTACTGTTCCCTCTCTGCTCTTTCAAACTCTGAGTTTCAGTCTGTCATAACTGCTCCCCACCACCTGAGAGCCTCACTGCCCATAGAAGGTTCTGCAAATCCAGCACCAGCACCAAGCAGGGACATAGATACCATCTGATGCTGGTGTTTCCCCCGGAGGTGCGCTCAGAAGGACAGAGAAACTGTACATACTGACTAAGGATGGAAAGGGGCAAAGTGGTGGACCGGCTGGCCACCCACAAAGTTTCAGAAGGGCTTGTTTGCCCAGTACAGTAGTAGATCCTTGTGCATTTCATCGGAGGGCAGACTCGAACTCCTTTTTCCCATGGTGCAGCTCGGGTAGAAGCCCTCAGATTTGCTGGCCCTCTCAAAAGGGGCAGCATCTCCTGTAGATCAGAAAAAGATATTTGGGTCAAGTAACATGGCCATGGGGTTTGGCCAGGAACCATCACTAACATGGCCATGGGGTTTGGCCAGGAACCATCACTGTTTTCGCTGGTTCCTGTGCCACCAGCCATATAAATGTTATAACCTAGGTTTCCTCTTGGTTCTTCTAAATTCTCCTGCTCTTTCGCCATTTTTCATGGTTTTAAGTGGACTCTCACCTCTGTTAGTGTCTCTCTGGTAGCCATGTTCTCTCCTGATTTCCTGATTACTTTATTTACTTTAAACCATTATTTTAAGTGCCTCCCGGGCCCTTCCGCTCAGCCGCACTGCCGCCTCGCACCGGTATCGCGTTTCTGTATCCGAGGCGCTCTGCCGCCGCTGGGGGGCGCTGTTTCACTGAAAAAAAAGGTTACCAGAAAAGGATTTCCATCACCTCTCGCCCACATTCACCTCTCCACCCCTCTGCCCGTGAGCCCCGCCTTCCCACCTGTGACCGTGGACGGACTGAGCCCGCTGCTACCTGCGTCCGTCCGGCCCCTCCCCCCGCCGTCACAAGCGTGCAGTAGGGACTCCCCTCTCAACCCTTCACCTGACCGTGCAGCCTCCTGTAGCCACCGCCTCGGCCTCCTGCCTGCCGCCTCCTCAGCACACTGACAACTGGTTCATAGGACGTGGTGATAATGAGCTCACAGTCGTACTAAATTCATTGTTTCTCTTCTTCTGCCACCGCTTTGGCTCGTGCTCACTTTTGTTCCTCCCAGGCCTCGAAAACCTCTTTTATGGATGTTACCGTAGGCTTCGTTCTCTCCTTTTTTGACAGCTCATCGGCCCTGGACGCACCTGCACATTCCTTCTTCCTTGCAACATTTTCTTTACCTAGGCTTTAGGATATTATAAGCAATTGATTTTCTTTCTTTTTCTTAATGTTAGTTTATTTTTGAGAGAGAGAGCAGCGGGGGAGGGGCGAAGAGAGGGGAACAGGATCCAAAGCTGGCTCTGCGCCGACAGGAGACAGCCAGATGCAGGGCTTGAACTTCCAAATGGTGAGATCATGACCTGAGCCGAAGTCGGACGCTCAACCGACTGGTCCTCCCAGGAGCCCCAGAACTCACTTATTAACGTGAAATTTTCCCTGACTGTCCCTCCCTGTATTTCCTTTGGCCTGTATTACAGTGCTTAGAATAATAGGCTGCTGCTGTTTGATGTCTCTCTGCCGCCGAAGGCTGGCCGCGTCCCGGTCTTTTCAGCGATGGGCAGAGACCAGCATCATGACTCACAGATTTCACTTAAATTTAGTCACCTTGAAAATGGTTTTAAGATCATTGGTTTCTTCAGATTTGACATGTTGTTGCTCTTGGAAATAAATGTTAGATTAAAGAGAAACAGGTTGAATTTCCAGGCTGTATGCAGACCGGGAAATAAGACGCTTACCTTTCTTGTAAAGGAGAAGCAACCCTCTTCTGTAGATTTGTCTCAACCCTACCAGAACAACCAACAACCAAAAAACAAAACCAAAAAGAGCTCAAAACAGGTGGAACTATAAAGTTTGTAGGTTCACTTTAATAAGCAGAAGCTGAATTCACTCTCCTTTGCAGCCAGGTCGTCGCTGCTCAAAGCAGCATGAGTCCGATCTGGGAATGTGTTTTCACTGGAGAGTGTTTTTAACCGGGCTCGGCTGGTCTGTTGTGTTGGTCCGTCAGTGCTGATGCCTTCCCAGCTCGCTCTAAGCAGGGGGCCGGCTGACACATCGCCCTTTTGAAAATATGTTCCTTGTTTTGTAGCTAGGTTTTGGAAAGTGAACTCAAAAATAAGTGAAATTTTGCAGATGCTAACATTTGTTTGGCCCGTGGAAAGATTTTTTATTTCACCAATTGGCATTTATATTTTATGGTTCTGGGTTTTTTTCAGTTTTGCTTTGGAATATTTTTTCCCCTATATATGTGAGTCCTGTTTTTTCTTGGGGAGTCTGGTGCCTCGGAAAATTCTGAACATACACACAGGAAATGGTATGATGAGGCCTGTTGTACCCACTACCTACCCTCACTAGTTCTCAGCATTTTGCCAGATCATTTTCTCTGTTCGCCTCAGGCCGTTGTCACACCTGACAACACTGAAAACTGGTCCTTCAGTTATAATGCTCTTTTTGACCGCTATTTGGCGTGTATTCCACGGGTAACCTTGGAAGAAAAAAAAAATCAATGAGTTTCAGTTCTTGTAGTTGAGGAAAGGAGAATCTTGATTCCAACCAACAAAGCAAGAATTTTGAACATTAACTTAGGTGACTTTAGTATGTGAGAAGTCTGGAAAAACTGGACCAGGATATTTAAATCTCTTAAAGCCATATGTCTAAAACATAATATGTTTTGCTAACACTTGTGTTTGGACTATAGTAGTTAAAGAATGGAGCGCATTTTAAAAATGTATGTATAAGATCAGTGCCAGTATTTTTTACTTAAGTTTTTTGTTTTTGTTTTTGTTTTATTTTAATGGTCCCTCACATTTTAATGTCTGGTCTATTGATTTTTTTAAACATTGCTCAGATTAGTTCTTTTTTTCCTTTTTTGTTGGTAATCTCCTAAGAGTCCTGTGTAGAGGACGGTTAAGAAAATACTCTGCATCCCTGTTACTCTGTTACGTATTGTAAATAAAGCCCTGGTATAGCACACAGAGTAACAAAGATCTAAGTTACAAAAATGTCCTTCCCACACTTCTTCTGCATCTCCTTCCGGGTCCCATGTTTCTGACAGCAGATCCTAGGACTATTTCTGAAATTCTAATATAGCCGATTTGAATGTTAGCAAGAGAACAGATGACTAATGGATGCCTAAAACAATAATAAATGACTTTGTTCCAATGATCATATTAGTTGTCGATAGTTAACTTTGTTTCCAAAATGGAAATAGTTAACAGTAGACTCTCAGGCTACATTAGAAAATAGCAGAAGTAACTAGCTTCTCCGTGTTGGTTGGTGAGCCTCCTGTGAGCCACCCTTCCCCAAAGTTGGTCAGCTGAATTAGCTGACAAAATAGGGAGACTGTTTAGTGAGGATCTCTGGACTGAAAATGAAAATTACCTGGTATTGAGATTGCTCACATCCATTCTCTTTGTATCCTGGGACAAGGAAAAGTTATTTTGGATGACTTAGAATTTGGATGGAAAATAGTTTTGCTCTTTTAGAGTTGCCTTCGAAAAGATGATAGTTGGGCTTAACCAAAAGCACTGAGTTGCCGAAATTACTTAAAATGAAGTTCTGTAGAAGCATTTTGTGATGAAAAAAAAGCTAAACTTTTGTTTTTGTTCCCCAAATAAGGCAGTATTCTTTCAGAGCCTTTATTTTGCACCCTAGCGTACCTCTTTGAGGGTCCAGAAGTATATTTAGTGGCAGTTTATATGTTATTAGCAGCTACATATGGCACTATAGTACGTATTATCCTACCTGGAAAGGAGGTGCTGGTTATACCCCTATGTTACATGAGGAAACAGTGGGTCAGGGACACTTAGTGGACAGTCCAAGGAGAAATAGTACAGCCACTCTGATAAGGGTGTCTGATGCCATTAACAGACAATTTGTAGATAAGGGAGTAAAGAAAGAAAAATAGAAGCTTTGGGGGCTCCTGGGTGGTTCAGTCGGTTAGGTGTCTGACTTTGGCCCATGTCATGATCTCCCGGTCAGTGGGTTCGAGTGCCATGTCGTGCTCTCTGCTGTCAGTGCAGAGCCCACTTCGGATCCTCTGTCTCCCTCTTTCTCTGCCCCTCTCCCACTGGTGCACGCTCTGAAACATAAACATTAAAAAGAAAAGTAAAAAGAGAAGCTTCAGAGGAGGAAATAAATTTGGTTTTCTTACAGTAAGATTTTTGTAATGCCTGAAACTTAGATTATGCGGGTGAGGAAACTGCGGTCTGAAGAGGGTGTACGAAGTGAGAGAAAGAAGCCCTCCCCCGGGGGCTTGATTCTAAGGATATGGTGAAGAGCCGAGTCTCAGAGTTGCACGTATGAGATAATCTCCCGGGAGCTCGGGAAAACCGTGGCGCCTGGGTCACGTCCTGAGAGTCTCATTTCACAGCTATGCAGTGAGAATTGGTCTCAAGATGCAGCAAGATGCCCCTCTGGAAAGCTGCTAGACGGAAGGTTAAGAAACCTCAGGGTTCAGACCAGTTGTGTGACCACTATGGTACTTTGGGGCAAGCGTGCTTGAGTAAGAATAGGTACTCAAATTCTGTCTAAGAATTATCAAAAATTTTACTGAAAAATTGAAAGGAGAATTTTTGTAAAAGTATGCTGAAAATCCTAAAAAAAACCCCAAAACAAAACCAAAATCATAATTCTGTGACGACTGTTATTATTGCTGGGGAAATAGCAAAGACATGACTTCTGGTATCCAAAATAACTCACTGCTGTGTGTGCATATTATAAAATAATATTGAAGTTTTGGGTTCCTTTGGTAAATCTCATCATATCTTTACATTCTTATCCCTGGTAAGTAGCCTAATACTTATCCCATAGGAAGTTCTCATTAAATTGAAAACCAATGAGCTAAGCATATTTTGTGCAGTTGCACAAAGTTACTATAAAGCACATTAATACGTGTGATTTTATGACATGTACATTTTGAATTGGTAGCAATTCATAAATGTTAATAATGGACTTTCTTTTAATCCCATCTGCTTTCTTAACAGGACCTGTACAAATCAGCCTTCTTTTATTTTGAAGGGACATTTTATAATGATAAAAGATACCCTGAGTGCAGAGATTTGAGCAGGTACAGTCTTCAGAAGTCGTCTCAGTCTTTCCTGTCTCTGGTTCTCAAAACAGAGCTCCACAAACTGGTCTGTTGAGGATCTTTGCCAAGGAATTGTTTTGTTAGACCGTTTCGTTTGTTTTGGGGTCAAAATATCTCTGGAGAATTAGTGTGCATGCAAGCAGGGGAAGGGCAGAGAGAAAGAGAATCTTTTTCTTTTTGTGTTTTTCGATTTTTAACATTTTATTTATTTTGAGAGAGAGAGAGCACGAGCAGGGTAGAAGTGGAGAGATGGGTGAAGGAATCCCAGGCAGGCTCTGTGCGGTCAGTACTGAGTCCCACACAGGGCCCGAACTCACACATCTTGAGATTATGACCTGAGCCGAAATCAAGAGTCGGACACTCAACCAACTGAGCCACCCAGGTGTCCCGTGTGTGTGTGTGTGTGTATATACAAACACATATATACTTTTAAAAATTTTATTATTACTGTTTTTTTAAATATCATCCATGCTCAATGTGGGACTCCAGTACACGACCCGCAGATCACGAGCTGCTACCAACGAGGCAGCCAGACACCCCAAGATTTACTGTAATTTCTTCTTTTCTTGTTTTTTAATGTTTATTTTTGAGAGAGACAGAGCTCTAATAGGGGAGGGACAGAGAGAGGGAGACACAGAATCCGAAGCAGGCTCCAGGCTCTGAGCTGTCAGCACACAGCCCAACATAGGCCTTGAACTCATGAACTGTGGGATCATGACCTGAGCCGAAGTCAGATATTTAACTGACTGAGCCACCCAGGCATCCCATGATTTGCTATTATTTCTTTTTCTTTTTCTTTTTCTTTTTCTTTTTTTTAATGTTTATTTTTGAGAGAGAGACAGAGCCCTAGTGGGGGAGGGGCAGATGAGAGGGAGACACAGTCCAAAACAGGGCTCTAGGTTCTGAGCTGTCAGCACAGAGCCCCACGACGTGGGGCTCAAACACATTAACCATGAGATCAGGACCTGAGCCAAAGTCAGATGCTTAACCGACTGAGCCCCCACCGAGATGCCCCAAGAATTCAGAGTTCTTAATTTCAACATGTATCAGCCACTGAGATTTTTGCTTCAAGATGGCAACTGTCATTTTATTGCGCCGGGTTCTATGAAATAATTGCAGTCACACACCTGTGACAAATCTGTCATTTTTAGGTTTTTGAGGAATAACACCGTTGCCTTTTTGCCCCCTTTAGAACTATCATTGAGTGGTCAGAGTCCCATGATAGAGGCTATGGAAAATTTCAGACCGCTAAAATGGAAGACTTCACCTTCAATGACTTGTATATTAAACTGGGTTTTCCGTACTTATATTGTCACCAGGGAGACTGTGAGCATGTTGTCGTCATTACTGACATAAGGTAAGTGGCAGCCCCTGAGACGTTTTGTCATTTGTTCGTTTTCCTTTTTCTTTAGTTCACAGTATAAGGGCACGGGTAGTTTTTCTTTGTTTTCGTTTTTAATAAGAGGAATAAGATGCGTCACCGCAGCTTGGCTTGGGAGCAGCAAAACTGTGTGCTTTCCGTAGAATGCCCACCCATTTGCACTGTTGCTTTGGGGAAGGTGTGCGAGCGAACTACTTTACGGTTTGTGGGAGGCTTCAGAGTGTGAAGAAGCGGCTCCTTTTGTAGATTAGACAGGCAGTACCCGCCCACTTTGTATATCGCAGCCCCTTAGTTTATTGGCAGATTTGCAACTATATATCTAGGTTTCTTGTCTCTTTGCCAAACTTTTAAGGAGATAAAAGCAGTTGGGGGAGAAGAAGAATGCTAAGATTTGACAAATGTGAAATCTTAGTGCTTTTGTAAGTATAAAGGGGGAAGGACTAAAGTAGTTTAAAACGAGATTCTGTGATGATAAGTTTTGTGTAGCTGGTATCTCTCATGCATAAGGCTATTCGTACCCTTATTTAGGAAATGTCAGTTTACGAAGGATCCATAGATAGGAATAAGCCCTGCCGTATCCCTGCTTTGATTCCGAGAGAGCGTTTTTCTGTGAAGCAGTGATCTAACCATCGTGTATAGTATTCTAGTAATAGGAACAGAGGCCCTGAGAAAGTCCCTGCGCCCGCTCTTAGGGGCCGGTGTCGGAACAATTTGACCTCCGTGCACTCCTCCTCAGGAAGCTAGCCCAGGAAGTACTTCACACAGAGTAAACCTTGGAATAGGGGGAGACATACAGGGACTGTCAGAGCCGGGAGGGGAAACCCGGCACGCCGGCCATGCAGCCCGTCGAGCGAGCCGCTGAGTTCCAAGACTGGGGCACGGCCGAGAGCTCGGGAAGCACGTCTAGAACCGCTAGACCTGCCGCTGGTGCACAGCACACGTGGAGAGCATGGCTGTCCTTTTTTGTTTTTAATATTTATTTTTGAGAGAGAGAGAGGCAGAGCAGGAGCAGGGGAGGGGCAGAGAGAGAGGGAGACACAGACTCTGAAACAGCCTCCAGGCTCTGAGCTGGCAGTCAGCACAGAGCCCGACGCGGGGCTCGAACCCGCGAACCACGAGATCCTGACCTGAGCCAAAGTCTGGCACTCAACCATCTGAGCCACCCAGGCGCTGACAGAAGGACAGAACTGAGTTAGCGACAGGTACATTGAAGACTCATAGGCAAATGCAAACACGAGAGAATTAGTAGCTAGAAAACCATGTGTTACACGATGAAAGGAATCTGGAGTCAGTTGAGCAGTGTAGGTATAAGTAGTATTCGTTTGGTATCATGTGAACATTAAATATTTAACCGAAGTCATTTTGGTTCTGAAGAGGGATGTGGAAGAGCTAAATTTAAAGGAAACCGTTCAGAATGCGACAACAGTTGCCATCAGGGAAGAACTGTTGACGCAAGAGCCAGGAGAGCCCATAACCCTCAGAGTTTTACAGGTCTTAAAATTACATACGTTTCTTTGATAATGTGTTAAATTTTTTAGAAGCTGTTCTGTTCTTTCACTCAGATGAAGGGGAATGTGCCTGAGAATTAGCAGAAGATGGATGACAATCCAGTTTTTTATGCTTTTAGTTTTACAGTTGTTTTTTTGTTTTTGTTTCTTTTGAGAGAGAGCACAGAGAGGGGGAGGGAGAGCCATAAGCAGGCCCCACACTGTCAGCGCGGAGCTGATGTGGGGCTCAAACCCATTAACTGCAAGATTACAACCTGAGCTGAAACCAAGAATCAGACGCTTCCCCCACTGAGGCAGCCAGGCACCCCCACTTTTACATTTTTTACTGTACAGCAGTATCAGTCAGTCCTTAAACTCGAGGCAACTTGGGGAAACAGTTGACACTAGGCAGTTACAGTATGGGACTTCTAAGGAGTTAAAAAAATTTTTTTTAACTTTAAAATTTTTTTAATTTAACTTTGTTTTAAAAGATTTTAACTCTTAATTTTATTTGAGAGAGATCATGTGCACAAAAATAAGTGACAGGGGCAGGAGAGAATTTTTTCTTTAAATGTATTTCAAGAGCGAGCAAGCGAGCATGAGCAGGCGAGAGGGGCAGAAAGAGAGGGAGCGAGAATCCCAAGCAGACTCTGTGCTCAACATGGAGCCTGACGCGGGGCTCAGTCTCACAAGTGCGAGATCAGGAGCTGAGCCAATATCAAGATTTGGACGCTCAACAGTCTAAACCACCGAGGTGCCCCAAGTCCCTATTCCCAACATGGGGCCTGAATCCACACCCCCTGAGACTGAGAGTCGTTTGCTCTACCACCTGAGCCAGCCAGGTGCCCCCCGTGAGGAGTTTTTAAATGTAGTTTTAGGCTGCAAGTCATTTTTACCCTCCAGGTGGATGTAACTGTTCAGTGCCATTCCATAGTCTTAAGAGTTGGTTAACTGGTACAAGTGTATTAACCATGTCCTGATGGTAAAGTTGGTAATACTGCTACCCTTTCTTATTAAAAAAAGAAAAAAAGGTAATAATCAAATTTTAGAATTGTCAGAGACATTAAGAACACTCTTGTCCAGTCTATTCATTGTTTGAGTGGAGAATCTGAGGTCCAGCATGGTTAAGGGATTTACTCAGACCCAATCGTCTGATCCCTGGCGGAGTTGAGACGGACTTCCATTTTCAGTTGACTTAATTCTGACACCTAAAACTGAAATCCTGTCAGTTCACATTATACCAGGAGTCAGATATAGATTTTAATAAAGAGGACGGTAAACAAGAGGCACATACCACGTAACTAAATAGGTATAATAGTTGCCCAAACTAGATTTCATGAAAAAGTATGAAGTGTTGAGTGAGCAGTGGCTCTCTGGTGGAATATTTAAGATACGCTCCCTCAGAGCGAGTTAAAGCGTATCCCCATAGCAAGCTTTGGGATGTTTCACAGGAAAGAAAGCATGGTTTAATCCAAAATGATCTTTAGGAGAGTGTTTCTGTGGAACAGTTCGGTCAGCACTAGTGAAACAAGTGATTTTCGACCCAAATCATTTAGAAGGAAAAAAATGAAAAATATACTTCTTGTGTAAACGTTGAGGCACAGATACATTTCTTTCTAGATCGCAACAACGTGCATTTTAATCTCTTCATTTATTCTCATGTACAAAAGGCTTGTCCATCGTGATGACTGCTTGGATAGGACCCTTTATCCCCTTCTTATCAAGAAACATTGGTTATGGACCAGAAAATGTTTTGTTTGTAAAATGTACACAGCCAGGTAAGTTGTAATCATTTGAAAATTACTGGTTTTCAGTAATCAGGTGCTTTTCATTTTTAGTTATGTCAGTGTTTCCTATTCTGAATATGAATCTGAGGATTTCTAGTTTGGGGGTATAAATAGATATGGTTTTATCTGGTAGGTAAGTGCTGCAAATTAGGTCACAACATTTAAACAAGGAAACACATTCTATATAATTAAAGTCCAGGGGTGGGTCAGACTTTGGATGAATCAGTTCTCAGTGACTTCAAGGAGCCGTCGTGTTCTGTCTTTTGTCTGCAGTTTGCAAAAGAAGCTTCACCCACAGCATCCCCTCCAGGAAAAAATAACACAGCATCTCATATACGTAATGAGGTTAAAATATGGTGTCGTAAAGTTTTTACTCTGTGGTACTGCACATTTAGTTTGCTTTTTAACTGTGGATCATACTTGAAAGAAAGCATTCAGAGGAAAAGAGGATAATTGTGTATCCTAGATTTCTTTGGGGCTCCCTGCCCCCACCAAAATATGCTTTGCTAAATGATCAACAGGAAAACATGATGAATCAGTTATCAAATGGGAAATCAGGGAATGTAAAAACATACCTAGAGATGCAGAATTCAAATAGACTGAAGTCTTCCTCTTACTGTGACCAGTAACATTTCAAGCCAAAAAACAATCAGTTGAATATTCCCGTTTATATACACACCCGACATTTTATCCTGAATTCTAGGTGAAACATCTGGCGTTTTCAAATTAAGCAGTACTCATTTACTGGTTAAGATAAGTTAGTTATACAAAAGTTTATTAGGTCTGTAGCAGCTAACACTGTGGGTTTTTCAAGACGGTGTATGTAAATGTTAACCATTACCTGGAGGATAGGGGAGTCATGGCTAAAGTGTAGGATACATTCACATGTGAATTTATGTTTTTCTCTACTTACCTTGAAGAAGTCTTTCAGAGACTTCTGCAGGGTTTCTGTCAGTTGCCCTTTTGCCTTGCAGAGTATTGGTAGTAGTATGTCTGTATTTATCTATCTTTATCTGTACACACACACACACACACCTATCATATAAAGGATTGTAAAGTATTAAGATGGAATGATAACAGTGGGAATGTTTACACATTACTACAGATCATGTTAGTTGTTGATTGTGATGATGTACATCTTATTTTTAAATTACAGATGGGTGACGAACAATGACAGTTTTGCCCCAGAGGACCCATGTTTCTTTTGTGATGTTTGCTTTCGGATGCTCCACTATGATTCAGAAGGCAACAAACTGGGAGAATTCCTTGCTTATCCTTACGTTGATCCCGGAACCTTTAATTAATAACAAAAGTGCACCCTTGTGACGTAACTGCCTCCTTGGGCGGTTACTTTATTTCCAAAACCTCCCACTGAGGAACTAGCTCCAGCTGACAGTCAGCTAGTTACCCACAGCCCTGCGCGAGTTCAAGGCACAGGTGTTTTCTTTTTTTTTTTTTTTTTTATAAAGTCACTTGCGTTTGGAAATATATTGCAAAATATGGTTCTTACTTAGTGCATTTTCCCATTAAGAGTGTTTATCTTACTAAGTTGTAGGAGTGCTTTTTATATTTTGAATACAAATCCTTTGTCAGATTCAAGTATTCTCTTTTGCCCGGCTTGTGGCCTGCCTATTCATTCTGTGTCCAGAGTGGTTTTTACTAATCTATAATTAGAAAACTTCAGCTAATGACACATCAAGTGGGATCATCAAGTGGTTCTGAAAATTCTTGAAGAATGGGAGAGCTACACCTTACACCGTGAGGCTTCCAAGGTATAACATCATTCAAATATCTGTAATAAAAATGAGGGAGAATAAAAGTAGATTTAACAAACAGAATAGCTATTGTGTAATCTGATCTCACAGTGGGCTCATTTAGAGTATTAGGTTTTGTTTTGTTAGAAACTAGTAGGCACACTAAACATTTTAATGAGACTCACTCGCTAAATGAATAATGAATGTAAAAAGATTTTGAGTATATACTCCTACCTTCACAAAAGTAACCTTTAAATTGGTGCTTCATTTCTTGACAAGAGGTTTTTTTTTTTGTTTTTGTTTTTTTTTTTTTCCAGTTTAATGTTATTATGAAAATAGATTTTGAGGCACCTGGCCAGCTCAGCCGGTAGAGCATGCAACGCTTAATCTCAGCTTGTAAATTCAATCCCCACATTGGGTCTAGAGATTACTTAAAATTTTACAAAAAAGAATAAAATAGCAGATTTTATGTAATATGACCACTGGGAAATGGGAAGTCAAGATCCTGTGGATTGCTAGGTTCACTCATTCTGGAGCAATGATACCCAATATTCTTGCATGCAAAAATAACTCTTCCATTCTTCTGTCCCCCTCACTCTGATAATCCTACTTATTCTCTTTGATTCTGGTCCAAAGGACCCCTTTGGTAAACAACCGGATCTAGAGCATTTGAGAAAATTGTAGTTACCTAGTTTTCTATTCTAGATTGAAATGCTTTCTGGAAACCTTTTTGATGGAAAATTTTAAGAATGCTGTAAAATTGTTCCTTTTAAATGTGTCATAAATTCTACTTTCTCTCTCCTAGGTTACTTATTTAAAGTCCATTGAGTTCCACATTCCCTGGATGGCTAAGAGCAGACATTTACCATACAGATCAAAAGCTGACAAGTCCTTTAAGCCTCTAAGTTTAAGAGATTGGGAGTGAAATGTTTTGTGGACTTAAGTTCTACATACCCAGTTAAGCCCACTGGTGCGGAGGACAAACACATGCTTCTGGCGAGTGTACTGAGCGCTCATTCCCTGACTCAGTAGACACAGCACCAGAGGGTCAGTGTCAAGAACTCAGAGGCCCCTCCCTGGCCTGGCTTCCGTTACTGTCTCAATGTTCACTTTCATGTTTCCAGTGATGCTAATAAATTGAACAGACTGAAAATTCTGCTACAAAACTATTGATTTCACCAATTCCTGTAAGTTCCATGGGTAAACATGAATTTCTCCTTCATTTTTAAACTGCATATTAGTATGCAAGGGTCTGTTTACTTTTATTCATTTTCCTTTCCTATTCTCAAAACAGAAAATTCCAAAAAGTGCACTGGTCCCAATGGAAGCATTAATCCATGTGTGGTGCCCACCAATTCATTTTAGGGGACAAAGACTCTCAGTTAAAATATTACTGCTAGTAAAATTCTTTTATCATTAAGACTGTTATCCTGCTGGCTCTTAACTTTTCCATTAAAATTACAAAGGCTCAAATATCTTTTTATCATTTCCTTGTAAAATATAGAGGAAGAAAGGCTAACCAGGTTACTCCCAGAACTTGCCAGTGTATTATTGGTTATACAGGTATCCCACCAAACTCAAGTCAAAAGAACTTCTAACTCTGGAACAAGCCTAAAAGAGGTCTTGAATTGGGGATGTTATAACTGTAAAATTCAATACTGAGCACAACTTAAATTACATTTATTATCTGATGAAAAGCAAATACGAAAATACTGTAATGAACTTGATTAGTATCCTCTGTAGTTAGAATGAGATTTTGATAGAATAGTGGATGAGTGTGCACAAAAAATCAGTATTTAGAAAAGCAATACTGGTTTATCTTTATCAACCTTTGGTATCTAGTGTAAGGATAATTTTACCTTCTCCCAATTCAGTCACAATGTCTTTATCGTCTCTAAGGTTAGAGAAACAGCATAAAAATAAAAGCATTTCTACCTAATAACAGTTCATTTCTTAAGGTCTATAATTATGGGTTTGCTATTTCCAGTAGATGGTCCTTTCTCTGAGCAGTGGCACAAAATAAGGTGTTAGTGAAGCCCTCGCAGCCTCATAAAAGCCTTTGCTCTTATGTAGAATTAGTTGGCAGCCCTCATCTTGACCTGACCTCTTCAACCAGGTAAGTGTGTGTGGGTACAGGGCAATCGCTAGATCAGCAAAAAGTGGGTAAAATGCCATCTTACTATTTGAAACCACAGGATATGATAGCAGAAGGCTTATTAACATAGTCAAGTTTATACATTCAGTTCCTCCAATTCAGATGGTACTTCTGAAATTTCTCCAAAGCATCTAAGAAAATTTTCAACGATTCATTCTGTAGGGCCATAACTTACTCTTTTATTTAAAAAAAAATTTTTTTTAACATTCATTTTTCAGAGAGAAAGCGTGAGCAGGGGAGGGGCAGAGAAAGGGAGACATAGCTCAAGGCCTGGAGCCTGCTTCAGACTGTCAGCACAGAGCCCACACAGGGCTCAAACTCACAAACTGGGAGATGATGACCATGAGCCGAAGTTGGGATGTCCAACTGACTGAGCCACCTGGGCACCCACTACTTTTTAAAAAATGTTCTCCAGTGGTTGAGAAAGCATGACGTTAGGTGGTTTATACATACCAAAAATAATATTCCCCCCTCGTTTGCTGTCTCATTTAAATTATCTTAGTGACTTGACTTATTCAGCGCTGGAGTTTTGACCAAGTACACAATTTAAATTGAGCAAATGCTCCTGGAAGTCACTGGTATTTATGACTTTTTAAAAGTTCTCAGGGTGGTAGTTACCTGTGAACCAGCCTATGGCAAATAGAAAAGAGAAGGCCCGTTACGTTGAATGCCATGTAAGTCAATGGTTTAGAGCAAGGCCTGCCCAAACAAGCAGACATAAATGATCAGAATGCTATTATATAGATCTCCTGAAGTTGAATATTCTGTGGTTTCTCAGTAAAACTATTATCAATCTGTTGGGTCACAGAAGAAAAGGGGAGGGTGAACAAGTGCAACATTCTTAGCTTACTAAAGATTTAGTTACATTGTCTCCCCAGACAACACAATCTCTATACCAAGTTAACTAAGAAATTACTACTCTGTTGGAAGCAAATCCAGAATCCCAAAAATAAATAGCAAAGAATTTACTAGTAGAGTTTGATAGAAAAATCCTTTAATCAAAACAAGTTTACAATGTTGACACTTATGGCTTAACTAGAATAAGTCTGTCCAAATTTAAGTTGGATTAAGGACCAGATATAATATCAATAGTTCCCTCAAAACAGTGGGTCCTGGTTCCACTGGAAGACCTCTCAAAAAGCAAAACTCCAATTACTGAAATAACTCAGACTTTTCATCTGTAGATGAAAGCAATTACCTGAGAGGTCAGAACATACAATGCATGTCACATGCAAACACTGGTAGTATATAGTATTAAGCCTTTTCCCCATATTCATAGTTTCAAAACATGAGAAGTGTCTTAGCTACTGAAAACCACCAACTGACCTAATATTCAAAATATCTTAGAAATGCTATTTGTTAAGTTATCCTAAGTTTTGTTACCCTTGATTTACCCTGACTTAAGTCCATATACATGAATATACAGACTATGAAAGTACTCCTTTACTTTGTCTAACTGCCTCGGAGCAACATGTATTTCTGCTCCTTACAATTCTGTCACATGCAGGATCTCTAAATAATAATTCCCTTCTGATATAGCCATGTTTTCAAATAGGTTAGTTTTCTTCTATAGTATTTACTTCTATTTACTGCATAAGAATCATGGATTTTTTTTTCCAATTAAAAAAATACTTCGTGACTTCCTTAAATGAGTGTGACTTTTTAAAAATTCAGAAACTTGAGACAGTTCTCAAAAATAAACTTTTATCATTTAGTTTTTAGTTTCAGCTACTAGTGCCTGTAAAGGATCTTAGATGGTTGAACCCTAACGCCAGATTCATTCCTATATATACCTATTTTGCTTTCTGCAGGAAGTCAGGTGACTTCACTGAATTCCCAGCCATAAAACCTAAATTACCTTCAAAAGTTAACATGAGTTTTGTACCTTGTAGAATTGTCAGTTCAATGTCAGTTGGATATCTAGTTGTCATACAAAAAGGCATACAGACCACAAATTGTTACAAAGCAGCAGAATGTAGCACAATGTAGACTGTGAGATTAAAATTAACTTTTGATAAAAGAAGTGAGTACCTGTATAGAAGTAACATTTTGTCTACCATAAAAATGCATATAACTTCTACAAAACCCACAAACAGTGAAAAGACAACTCTGGTAAATCCAGTATTTGTAAAAACTATGCACAAAACCCACAGTATTTGGGAAAGAGGAAAGTTTTATACAAGTAGCAGTTTTAAAAATGTAACGTTTTCTCTACTATCAATTACACATTAACATACACACACTAATTGAAATTATGCTACAACAAATGTCTGGAAAAGCAGTTTAACATTTCCTAAATGAATTTTCCCTCACATTTACTGAATAATGTAACTGTTAATACTGCACAAGTACAATTAGCAATAATGTTTTAATTACTTTTAAACAAATATAAAGGGATTTTTCTCCCTCAAAACAAGTTTTCAACATCAAAACCTATGCTTATAAAAATTTAAAACTTTCAGCAGTCTAAATATTTCAAATGAAAACCATTACAAACTTCTCAAATGTTCTTTATATTCCAGGTATGTCAACCTAATTATCTAGTGTAGAATCCTTCAGAGATATTTCAGTCTCTCTCTCTTCACTGGATGGCCTAAAGAAAGGAAAGAAAGGTGTGTCAACTGGGATTGGGGGCTTTTTTCCTTCAAGAGGAAGGGAAAAACACATTATATCCATGCATAATGTTTTTAAGATCACCAAAGGATTAAAAAAAAAAATAATCTTGACTTCTTTTTTTTCAAAGCTTTATTTTACCATGTTGTGTCTTCCTAAAGTAATACTGAGATCAAACAAAAAATAACTCAGAGAAGCGTGAGTTGCCAGGCCCTTTCCATCATTTCCAGCTTCAAACTGAATTCTCTTTGATATCAACATTACAGTGCTTGCTTCGGCAGCACATATACTAAAACTGATACCAACACATTACAAACCTTACTAAAGAGAGGGCATGACAGAGAGATGACAAGATTTCCCTGAATTTCAGAATTAGAAGGGATGCCTGACTCCAAGCCCTCCAAATGTGCAGCAGAACAAGGCAAAACTTGGATAATCCCAGTTCAGTAACTAGTTATTTAGAGTCGGTGCAGCAGAAAATAGCCTGTGATTCTAATTTTTGTATTATTCTGTCACAATTCAAGAAAGTACGAACGTAAATCACTATTAAAGCTGCATCAGTGAAAGAAATCCAAAGAACAATAGTTGCTTAAACTAGAATCCTACTATCTAGCTCTATTCCCTTTGCCTGTTTGATTTTCATCTTGCTTTCTGAATTCAGGAATTGAGTGATCAAAATAGAATTCTTCTACAAATAACACTGGAACAGCAATGTGACTTAAGAATTAAAAATCTACATTATGACCCATTAAAACTTGTCCTCACTTTTTCTTACTGCTGGCCTCGTGCTTGTCTTTGCTTTCTTCACTGCTGTCTCCATTGTGTTGTGCTGGGTTACTGTCTGGAGCATCAGATCCTCCATTCAGAGTCTTTGAACCTTTAGAAGGGTTCCAGAGGAGAAACCATCAGAGCTTCTAATACTTTTGAAATATCCTCTAAATATTCAAAAAATAAAACATGGCCCAGAAGTTTCTAGTACTTAATGTACCCTCATCAGAAATTACACTGTAATCTTTTGAGTTAAGAAGCAAGGTTACTATATATATTTATATGTAAGAGAAAGGAGAATCTTTTAAGTTCTCTGAGAGAGAATGAGAGCAAAAGCACAAGTGGGAGAGGGGCAGAGAGAATCATAAGCAGGCTCTGTGCTGTCAGCACAGAGTCTGAGGCAGGGTTCAATCTCAGGAATGGTGAGATCATGATCTAGCTAAATCAAGAGTCGGATGCTTAACCAACTGAGCCACTCAAGCACCCCAGAAAGAATGCCTATTTCTTACAAAAATGTGAACCATAGTAAAATTTTGTATTTTCCATTGGTATTTTAGAACAGAAGGTGTCAAAAGTACTGCTTACTAATTAACACAATTTTGTGTCCTATTATTAAT